GTGGCTCTGAATTAGTTGTAAGAATAAAAAGCGTAAGAAAAGTTAATAATGCATGGTAATTTTGATTTCCCTCAAAACTAGGATATGAAGAGTACATTGCTATGGGCATTGATCCTAAGAAACTTGTGATGGGTGTCCCCTGGTATGGCTATGACTATGTCTGCCAAAACCTATCCACGGTAAGGTGAAGACTATTTGTTTGTAATCAAACTGTTAATTTTTTTCCTTAGAAAGATACAACTAGATTTTGGTAATCTTGTTTTTGGACTAGGAAATACTGTGGTCTGATGGATAAGCGCATCAAGCTGGGACAGAAAACAGAATCTTTTGCTTGGTTGATAATTGATGAGCAGTGTGTTACCAGAAAAGGCATTTTAGTTCCTTAGGCAGCCTGAACCCCATATCCAACACTGTGTTTGACTAAGGAGCTGTAAGTGTTATCTGTAGGAGAAGAGATGATGTCCACAGGCCCAACACTTGTATGTGCCTTCTCAACACCACTGTAGAGACAGGTGCAACAAACCATAGCAAACCTACAACTGTTACAGCATAGCAGTTTATGAGCTCTCAAATATTATACTTAGGAAAAATGTAAGGGTCAATTAAAGATAAGACAACTGTTTAAGCTGAATGATATCCATCCAGTCCTGTATTACTGCAGATTAAAGAAAATTTAGCTGTTTTAATTTACTTTTCTCTACAAATAGTGTCTGCTGGAGTTGCTTGAAGATTTGGAATTTTTGTGGCCTTAATGCCTTTTGTGAATTGTTTTTGGCTGTGCTTCTATTCCGGAGTTCAGTATATCTTACATGAAACTCATGCCTCCCTATTTCTTTTTTAGGATCATGTTTGTTCCCTTCCCAAAGTGCCTTTCCGTGGGGCTCCCTGCAGTGATGCTGCAGGGAGCCAGGTGCCCTATGCAACCATCATGAAGCAGGTGAACAGTTCTCTTTCAGGGGTGCTGTGGGATGAGGTACAGAAGGCTCCATTTTATGAGTACAAGGTAAGAGTCTTTTTCCAAGACACTGTGGTGTGGAGTAAGCGTTCATGAACCATAGATCTTTAACTATAAAGTTATTTGGATTAGATTCTTCCTTCTATGTTTTCTACTTGTTGGGTTTTAGTTTTTTGGGTTTATTTTTGGTTTTTTGTTTTGTTTTGTTTTTTGTTGTTGTTGTTTGTTTTTGTTTTGTATAGTAAAGGATTGCTGGAAATCTGTCTTGAATTCCTAGTCTGAGAGAGGGGTGCAGTGCCTGAAGACTACAGGAGTAATAAAGATCTTTATTACTTTCCAGTCTTCTCAAGATACTGAATCATTTTGACACAAAGACATCCTATAGCTATGTCCTTCACTGCTGTAGTTACCTTAATGAGTTGATGATTTAAACTAAAAAAGATTCTGAGATGATCTTAATTTTGTCTAGCTCAGTGCCGTGCATGCATGTTCTCGTCTGCATTTGTTTTCTACATAGACACAGTGAAAGAGTCCATGAATGATTGTGCTTACAAGAACACCACAGTGTATCCATTTTGTCTAGTTTCTTTAGACATTATTTAAGTTTCACATGTTGGTGATTAAAACATATTGTAACCAATGACTAGGTAAAAGCAGCATAACCTTCATAAAATTTTACAACATCCTCTCAAACTGTTTATTCCTTAAAAGCCCCACAGTCTCTAACTAAATTCACCTCTTATCTTAGATACTGTATCTGAAATTTAAACTTTATTTAAAAAAATATTAAAATACAGATTAGCTAAGCCTTTAACTCCAGTTAAATTGTGTCACTGTTTTATAACTTATATTCTGCAATTAAAAAATAATATCCAAGTATTTGGCTTAAAATTTTTAATTGTCCTGTGTGACAAAGAATTGGTAAATCAGGAAAATAATATATAAATCTGCATAGCTTGTATATCTCAGTTTTTAAATGTATTTTTAACTGTGTTCAAGAGAAAATGTAATCACTGACACTAGTGTTCAAATGTTTTTCTAGGATTCTGCTGGTCAATTCCACCAGGTATGGTTTGATGACCCTCACAGCATCTCTCTAAAAGCAGCATATGTGAAGAGTCGAGGCTTGAGGGGCATTGGCATGTGGAATGGAAATAGTCTTGACTACTCCAGGGAAGCAGTAGCAGAACAACAAACTCAAGCAATGTGGCAAGCTCTGACACCATGAGAACTATGTGAACCATTGATTTAGAATAATGAAAATTGGTAACTTTTTATTTTGGTGTACACTATCATGGATTTTGACTTTATATAAATATATTGTGATTACAAAAACTTTAAAAACTAGGAAAATTACAAAAACTTTAAAAGCTAGGCAAATTAATCTTGTTCTTTATATTCAAAGCTATATTTTCATTATTCAGGAAGTTCCAATGTTGCTTTGGAACAACAATCCTTGCATTAGTAGGTTTTTTTTAAGACTGCTCATCTTTTAAATTTTTCACAGTTAATCTACGTTAGTTAATGCTTGAACCCAGTGTGTATCTGGTAACAAGTCCAACTGATGGATTTACAGGGGAAGTCTCATAATGATGCTTTGCTAAAGCTGCCAGGTGCAGCAAATATTTATTCCTGTGGTCCATGATTGTCTCAGCCTTCTGACTTCCCAACCCAACCAATATTTTAGCTAAGTCACTCTAGAATCAGATTAAACAGAGTACTGGAGAGACAGGTGTTGATTATATGCAGCTTGGTTACTCTTCTAGATTAAAAGATTTTTATGGACTGAAGAAATTACATAACATAAAGTAGTTGCTGTGAAGATTTATATCAAACTTGTTAGAAAGGAATATTCAATAAAGTCCAGTTTCACTGTCTTTATGTATCACATAAATTCCTTAGTTTCAAAAGCCAAAAATTTCTGACCTTAGCTTGAAGAAGAAACATTAATATGAAGAGGGCTTGGATGATGTTTCCTTCCATTTCAAACTACTTTAATTAGAATTCAGAAGCTTATTTAATGAACTCTATATCTATTTTTCCACACACCCTAAGATACATTCAGTAGCCTGTTTTTTGTTTTTATGGGGTGTTGCCTCTGAGATAATAGGAGATTGTTTCCTTTCTAGTTCATATTTTCATAAAATCATTTGCCTAAAGAAGTTGTGTAAGTTTTTAAAATACCTATAGTGATGTAAAGATTGACTGGTGTTTACAGGATTTTATTTTTTTAAATAAAGTGCTGTTCTTGGTAAAACTTGTAAACAATGTTCCCTGTCTGTGTTTTACTTGTTCTACAGCTTACAGCCCACACTGCTTGTCGGCTTCTCAGAACTGTTTCACAACCAGATCAAAGTGCAACTGGGCCCTGCTTAAGTGACTCCATTAATTAAAAATTTTATTTAATTAGGTAGATGTAGTCAGTTGTGGGTTTGGTGGTTTTTTGGGTTGGGGTTGGGGTTGTTTGTTTGGGTTTTTTTGCTTGCTAAAGAGTTACCACAGTATGGCAGCATTACCATAATGGCTATTGAGGAAAAGACTGGAAGATTTCATCTGAATTGTCTGTTTGATATTGTGATTTGGTGTTGGAAAGCAGAAGGTGAAGCCTACTGTTTGTGCAGAAACTAAAAAATTCCCTTAACGAATCAGGAGGCTTTTCATTACAACACCACTCTGTAAGTCTTAAGAGAAACTGCTACATTTTATATATTATATATATTTATCTCTACACACATATATGTACTTCAGAACGTCTATTACTACTTAAATGCTTAAATACTGTGAGATGGATATTGCTGAACTGAGAGTCTTCTGGTACGAATATCTGACCTACAAAATTCTGAGGGCCAGATGACTTAATAATAAAACTCTCCTGTAGTTGTCAAGAATCATGAATTGATAATACTATATTTTAAATTTAGGTTCTGATTTTCCAATAGCTAGTAGCCTGCTCTCGTATCTTAAATAAGACACAATTCTTAAATAGAGAATGTGAGCTTCAACCCTGAATTAAGCAAAAGTGGGTGTAGTTTTAATAATTTATTTAATCCTTTAGCACTAAAATCTTTGTTAAGTCATATATTTAAGAAAATAAATTGGATAATGGGTGGTTTGACTCAAGACATTGCCAAGTTAGTTCTTTTGAGAGCTGCATAATTTTCTTATCATATAACTTATTCCAATAATAAATACAGCCTTGACAGCTTTTTAGCTGAGATTAATTCCTAGCATGTTATTCTTCTGCTTAATATAATAACATCTGGTTTGGAAAGAGGCAAACAGCAGAGCTAGAAAAGAATTCCTATGGAGAGGTTTCTGATGCCTCTTTCAGAGAATTGTTTATCTCAGGACATGCATGACCTTAGAATTAAGGAAAGGCAGAATATGCAAGAGTTTAAATTGGACCAGGATCATCATTATACTGGTCCAAGAGAAAGCTTTCAGGCAAGCTTTCAGACTACAGAAGACAGTTAATGTCCTTGTGCCTTTCCTAATAAGAGAGGGAGCAAAACCAGCTAGATATGGAATAAAGGTATTTTGTTTATGCTTCATAATCATATAGTAATGATACATTGTTAATTTATAGATAGGCATATTTATAATGGCAAAAACATACTCCAGTAAACAGCCAAATAAAGGATTGCTGTTGTACCTCTACAGAAACCATATTTTAAAAATTTCTAAAAAATGGGATATGTAGGCCTGAAAATAAGAACAGGAGGTTACAGACTTTAGGTTTATTTCTTAGTAGCTATTTAGTTCATCAAAGAACTTCAGCATACCATTGGGATGTTACACAATTAGTTTTAGACATGTTACTAGCTTAAACTGTATGTTTAAGTAGCTGACTAATCTTACAGTGAGATTTAAAAAGAAGTAAGCTGCATTACCTCAGTAGCCTAGTATACAAATTCCACAACATTTAAATAGTTATTGCCTTTTTACAAAATAACTTTAGGAACATACAAACAAATGCTCTGGAGTTCTCTTCTACATACACTAGAGAGCTGCTGTCAACTTCACAGAGGTTAGTCATGGCATCTATTTAAATTCTTGATTTTCTGGACTGGAGAATTAAAGCTGAATGAATCTTCTTCTGTGTCAGTTCTGCTCTCAGTGCTCGTAAATCAGATGCTGCCTGCTTTCTCATCTGCAAAAGAACCCATCATTTAAGGAATGGCAATTTAAGGAAGCTTTTTTTGGAGCTGACATGCGTATATAACTAAGAGAGAATTTTATACAGGATGGCTGAATGCAGGATACATCTTTCATCTTTGAAATTTTATGTGTTCTAGCACTACTTTGTTCTGTACTTTGCCTTGATGTTTTTGAGACGACTGCAAAATTAATTGTTCTTTGCACTCCTTGCTAGACAACGGAGGACTCATAATGATTGCAACCACCCTGGAGTACCCAGTAAACAGGAGTATGGGCAGTCTCTGTGGTGTAGAACACTCTATTTCAAGCTTTCAGAGCTGGAAAGCTGTTCAGTGTGAAGGCCTATACTACCTCTTCCTTCCAAGAAGAGTCATAGGCAACACTGAAAATGGAATAAAGTAGATGAAGAGGTCTGACATCTGCTTAGACAGTTTGCTTTTTTTTTTTCTTTCATTTGTTTGTGGGTTTTTTTGGGTTTGGTTTTGTTTGGTTTGTTTTTTTTTTTCCTTTATACCATTTTTTTTCTTTAGCCATAGTCTATTACTGCTCAGTGCTTCACTACACCAGGTGTATTTCTTCAATTACCTTTTGAATGAAATGGGAATTCTATGAACAAGATAGTGAACCTTAGCTTACACAGCACATTGAGTATCTAAGTTGTTTGAATGCCACATATTCCAAATCATCTGATAACCTGGTATTCTGGAGTAATTTAGCACAAATGCTAAAGCCACAACACCTAACACCTTAAAACTGGCAATATAAAACGAGAACTGTTTAGCAAATATTTACATCATCTAATAATTGAGAAGTTCTATTTTTTTTTTATACATTGCCACATTTTGACTGTTTTAATTAAAAGGCAGAATACCTTAACTCCTATTAGGAGTCTCATTTTTGTATCATCTAGCTTCCTTCTCAGTTGATCGAGTTCATGCTGCACTGTAGCAATCCGGATGATTGTGTAATTCTGTGTGAAACAACAACAAAACTTGAAGTGCAGCATTAGTGCATCCATTCCCTCACTGGGTGTTACTTCACCACACAGAAACAATCCTATAACAACCTCTTCCCAGCTCCCCTGCTTTCCCACCCCACTGATGCCTGCCTGGCCGCACGTCGCTCACGAGGGGCGGGGAGCACCGTGTGCTCAGCCTAACAGCTCAGTAAATCCTTTCCCTTCTCTGGGTGCTGGCTGCTACAGAACGCTGTAGGAATGGTGCCTTGTGCATATCCTTCATGTAAGGCCTCTCTGTGCCTAGCCAGAGAGACCAAAAAATCCCACCCCTGCCATGCCCCTCAAAAGGAGCAATAGTGTGTCTGAACATAGCCAGTAAGGCAGTGTCAACCCTATTCATATTTGTATTTTGTAGATATTTCAAGATAGCTCAAATAATACACATTTTTATATACTATACACTCTTAGATTATATATGCACATACCTTTCAGATGCAAGAAAGGGACATTTATTTTTCCTAGGCTAGCTTCAGTTCTGTCAACAGCCTTGCTTCTATTAATGCATTTAGAAAATTAGCAGACTCAACTGTTGGAAAGGGTGTTTCCTCCTTTTATCATTCCTTTTTTTATCTTTTCTTTTTAATCCCTTTGAACTTACTGTGAAACTCAAAGTTGCACAATAGTTGAAGTGCAACCACTTCAAAAGCTACAGATATGTTTTGTGTGCCCTGAACATGCATTGCCTCTTTGTATGAAATCTTGGATGATAGAAACGAAGTAGAACTGAGCAATCCATTAACCATACTGAACAGAAGAGGATTTTGTTACAAAAAGGTACCAATAGAAAGCAGAAAGAAACAAATGCTCAGACTCAAGCACTTCTGCAGTCTTTTTGAGACAAATGGCCTGAGGAATTCTGTCCCTCAGATCATTGAGCTAAAGCTAGTTTACAAAACAAGTCATTGGTTGGCAATAAATCTGTTTCTGTAATTTATATTTTATACAAATAAACCTCAGACTGAGTAAAAAGAGGTAATACATAATACAAATAAATACCTTGGAGGTTGTATTGTTTGGTTGGTTTTTTGCTATCTCTAGCTTCCAATTGCAAGAGCAATTTCTGATGGTAAAGCTCTAAATCTTGTTGCAGTTTGTTTAAAGTGTCCTCCAGTGAAACTGTAGCTTTCTTAGCTTGAAAGTACTTTTTCTTCCATTCCTCACGAACTGCACAGGGAAACAATACCAGTGTTTGGTCTTGTTCACCTTATCATAAAGGACTGCTGAAGACACTCATGACCAGCTCACCTCACAAGCTTTAGCTGGCCAATGCACACACTGAAACATGGCAGGAGGTTTCTTTAAAATAAGCATTTGGTTAAAAAAGCTTCATTAAAATTACATTCACTCTAAATGCAACTGAATTTTCACACAAACACCTGCAACAAAAGGCTCTATCTGTCTACTGAGATAAAACACAGGGTCCAAACCCAAAGTTTTATTCAGCCTGGCCGTTCTGCAGGTTCTGCTGTACCTAAGCACTCCTGGGCTGTGAAGACTGGTATGCCCAGCACGGTCTGAAGTCCACAGCTCTAATGTACCAGAAGATGTAGCATTGTAGATTTAGGCAAAATTTATGCTCTTCTTGGCCAGAGATTTTGAACAGCTTCATTTTATACTGACATCCTACATTATGGGAAACAGATAATTACATTTCACCATAATGCCTCCTATGTTGTTAATGTGCTATCAAGAGCTGGTAGATAAATGCCCTTGAAGGTATTGTGGCAGTCTTATGGCCACTGCATACCTGCAGTGTCTTAAATGAATCCCTTGTTTTGAGGCATATTTTATGGAAGCAGGACAACTGAAACTTACCCAAAAGAACTCAGCTGTTAGAGCACTCTATGCCATGTAACTGAGAGTGCCTGTCAGCATGGCAGTCTTAGGAGGATATAAAACACAGACTTGGATGGCTGTTACTGCAGAAAATGCTCTTCCCTTAATACCTTGCAAAGACACATGCTTGCTACCTGCCCTTACTTATGAAACTCTCCAGGTCTGATGAAAAAAATTCAGAGGTACAGAAGCTTCTTACGGAACCTGCAGAAGCTGTTTTAATCCTTGTGAAATAACCTTTATTTTACCTAACTGGATAGCATATTTTAAGGCAATGCAGGTGCCATTTAGGGCTTATCTCTAGCTTGAATTGCAGCTCCATGCTATTACAGAGTTACTGCTTCAAGCACCCAAGTTTGGGGTTTTTAAAATACAAATTCCCCACGCTGCAGGGTGCTGTGCAGCCATGTCCTGAGAGAACAACTGAAAGAATTGGCATGTCTCCTTTCAATGAGCTACAAGTAATATTTGAGACTTGTAATAACATTTAAGCACAAAGAGAAAGCTCTCAAAACATCAAAATTATTAAATCTCATCTCTGTATAACTGGGATGTGATTTAGGGAAGGCAGTTTTAAGCATAAACTTGAAAATAATTTTAGGAAGAAAATTCATGAGAGGTTTCAATGAGATTTGACCTTGTTCAAAAACAAGGTTTGTCAAGCTTGTCACAAATGTTTTGTAACTTCCATGTTATAAGCTGAATACCATTGGATAGGAGGAACAAAAATTATTATGCTGCAATTTACCTGAAGCCCTATCAACACAGTACAAGCCTCTAAGCACCAGCTAAAGTAGGATTAGAATGTGCCAGCTGCCTTGGGCCTCGGAGAGAAGCAGCCTGCAGTAGCTCTCTGAAGAGTGCATGTACATGAGACACAACTTGAATAGTTTATGAAAGCCAGAATTATCTTAACTTTATAAGATATGCTAAAAAAAAAAAAAAAAAAAGTGGAAGTAAACAAAGGAAACACTGCAACCTTGAATTTTTCTTGCATGCTATTACACAAAATGAGTCTTCTTGGAGCTATTGGTTAGCAAACTGCTCTCTCTGTAATTAAGTTCACTGACAAAGAGACAAATACTTTCACATTGGTTTCAGTGTGAAAATTTTCAATTTTTCAATCACTCCATATTCCAAAATAAATTAAAAGCCTACCATGGTATCTCCTCAGCTTATTTTGTTCCAGCAGCCCTTTAGCTTTTTTGATCAGTTCTTCTCTAGTTTTTTCCATGTGCCTTCTCTCTTTCTTCATTTGTTGCAATTCTTCTACTATCTTGTTCATCTTGTTTTCTAAAGATATTACAATTATATTTAGCAAGCATTTGAATACTCCAAGTACAAAGGATCAGTCAAGACTTTTGTAATGCATCACAAATTATGCCAAAAGCTCTGGCAGAACAAGTAGTAGAAACTATCTCATTTTAATCAGGTTTCATTTTAATCTAACTTTTCAGAAGGGCTGGTGCTTTAGCAAAAGGGAGAAATCCAGCAGGCATCCAGGCATTCACCCACACACACACGCAAACATCTTTCTATGTGTTTGGACAATAAATCACTAAAACTATGTAATCAAGAAATATATTCACTCTAGACATTGCAAACTCTTGCCAATGAAGCCAAAAAAGCTTCCATAAGACCATTTCCTGCTTAAAATACATTGCAATATAAACTGTAGAGAAATCCTGCCTTAAACTCCAGATGGCAGGACAACATCTCAGACTTCCCCCTAGTCTGCAACAATAGGTCAAACACTTAACTTCTCACTATCCTGCTCCTCAACAACACTACTTGTGATTTTCTATGCTACAATCTCACTTGAGCCTGCAGTATTGAACCCGATCTCCCTCCTTTTCTCCTTCCATCCACAACTTGACAAGTTGGGTCTTCTAGTGCTGGGAACCTGTCAAGCTCTAGGACAGCCCATGCAATCATAAGTACCTGGAATTTTCTAATTATAAATTAAAATCCATAACAATAGTGTCAATGAATGTATGTAGAGTGTAGATATTTATGTCTTCATTGACTCTTCAGTCTTGATTAAATGTTCACTTCCTTGCAATTTCTTGGAATCGTGTACTCGCTGCTGGAACTGCAGGAACTTGAGCTGGATTTACAGTAAGTGCCAAAAATGGTGGACTAGGAGGTGAAATATACCCTTTTGGACAAGAAGGATGATTTTGCTTGTCTTTATTTGCCTATTGAGTCAAAAGACACAACTGTAAATACATAACCATAATCCTGGATAGTTACATTAGACATATGCCCTGAAAGTGGCCTGAGTGAGAGGGCTGAATTTGACTTCTGCAGGTAGGCTTTTTCATTCTGTTACCAGTACACATGACTACTAAATTACAAACAGCTGGACCTCTGCAAACAAAATGAGAACACTGAACATTTGCATCACAGAGAACATACAGACTACTGCTATTGCTCTTGTCCATGTCCATAACCCCAGAAGTTACTGACAGTCACAGAAGTTACAGACAGCAAGACCAGGAACTAAGGGCCTTAAAACAGCTACCTGGTTCGTTAATTATCAAAAACTGCCAATTTCTAAACTAAAATTTGTAATTGCAGGTTTTAATTGTTTAGAAACATAGCTGATATTCATTAGAAAATCTGCTAAGAAGCTGTGCATGAATTAACTTTTCTCAAATTTCCTCAAATCTTTTGTTATCTATGAGTCACCAGTCTTACAAAATTAGACTGTTTCTAGGTGGAGGACTACATTTATTGCTCAAAATTACTAGGAATGTTACCTTGAAAAACATACCTGATTATCCAGTTTTTCACCAAGACCGGCTCTAGTCTTCTTAGTTCTATTTTGCTGCAAGCTAAGATAAAACCAAAAAAACAAGTGAAAGTTCATTGACCAAAATGTTTTTTTCCCCCTTTTCTTTCATTTATTTGAAGTCTATAAAGTAAGTTTGTATCAGTGAATTAATATTATCCATTATTTTAGAAGATTTATTATTTGCTAACCTTTGTTTTTTGTGGACATAATCTGTAGTTTGGTCTTCCATTATTTTAAGAATTTCAGCATCCTCTGTTCTGTCTCTTCTTAATTTGGTATCTTTTTGGTGCTCATTATTTTCCATGTTTCCTAGTTCTGTGACAGGATAGTGATGAAAAAAATACATAGATTACACTTGCAAAAATCAGGCTGGTTTGACTGTCAATGACTGGACTTTCCAACCTGTATTGGAAATTCAGTGACTCAACACAGCAAGTGATGTTATCTCCAGAATTTGAAAATGTTCCATGAATAACAGAAGAAAGAAATAAAGAAAAAAAAAAAGTTTTTTTGTTATTAGAATTTATATCTGACTAATTCTGATGATTAGACAAATGCATTAACTATAGTAAAGCGTTTCTCTATATCAGCACACAGTGATAATGAAGGACTCAGAAGGTAAGACTAATCTCTTTGAAAGATATAATTTTTTTTAAAAAATGGAATATTGTTCCGATAGTGCTATTCCAACTTACACTTAATTACAGATTTCTTAAAACTTAGCTTTACTTTGCTGACTTTCTAGAACTCTTGCTTTAGCAAAAAGTCAGTAACAAACATTTGTACACTTTTGATATTTAACGTGATTTTGGGGTCTTTGGTTACCCTGGCTTTGTTCGTCACTGGGGCTTACATGAGAAAGAGCAGTTCCTTTGGCTTTGCCATTCCACTTTGGAGCATTGCAGTCTTCTTGATCTTGGCTGAGATCAGAGGTCAGAGGTCTGGAATACCAGGTCACACTTTCCAGTCTCCTGATCTGCAGGATTTGAATAACTTGGCATGAAGAGAGATCCATCAGATCCACTTTGATTTGCATAATAATTGATAATATAAAACAGAGATATTATTTTATTGTAAATGTTAACCATAATATTTATTTTTCTTCTTATTCATCATCCTGGTTAAGCTTACCTTTTTCTCCAAATTGTGTTTCTGGAATCCTGCTGTTACTGTCTTGCTTATTATTTGTATGTGAAACTGGAACAGGTTCTTTTTCACCCCATTCCACAGGACAGCACACTTCCAGATCTTCTACCTGATGCCTGCTTTGTATACTAAAAACGGTTTGCTTTTTTCAGGTTTCTGCTGGGAAAGGCTGGATAATCTTGATCCATGACCAAACCTATTTTCTTCTTCAGTAACGTGATGTTTTTGTTGAGCTGATGATGGTAATGAATAAACATCTTCAAAATATTCCACTCCAGGTAATAAATAGAATTCAGGATAAAGTGCCTGAAAATATACAGTGTATTCATCAGACAAAGAAAATGTGCAATGTAGTTTCTGAGAATGGTACCTTACAAGCCATTCAGTACTTACATAAGGAGGAGCAAATGACTTCAGTTCCAGTTCTGTTTCCTGCTTTGCTTTCACCTCAGAAGATAAAGTATGGAAGCATAACAAATACAATACTTTTTCATCAGAATGTTGCACATGATATATGCATTCTATGGCCACTTTTACATACTGCATTCTTTTATAACCAGCACTATCATCTGTAGTGGCCTTATGGGGAAAAAGCATCTTAGAGTACAATTGTATTTTCTGACATAGTTCTGAAACTTTGTTTTTCAAAATCTTAATCAGACCCGCAAGATTACATGCACGTACTAAATGTTTTTTTATCCTTTGCACTTTCTCTTATGGTTCAAAGGACCTGATCCAACAGTCACAGGAAAAGAAAACTTTCAACTTTTTTATCAAGAGCTGCTTCAAGCTGAATCTGGACAGAAATGCTGAGTCACACATAATTTTCTCTATTCACCTAATACAGTACTGCAAAATATTTAATGTATATAGGAAAAAACCTAGTATTATCCTATGTCTTCTATGTATTTATCATTTTCCTTCATATTCTTTTTGTGACATACACTTTCACATTTCAACAGCTGTCCTAAAAAGAAAGTCTAAAATAGTCAATACATATTTGAAAGATGTGTTCTAATGTAAGGAAAAGAAATCTGAGCTTACATTCAAATAATTATATTGAATTAAACACACAGGTTATGTGCAAAAAAAGGAAGACCAAATGAACATGACTTTAATCTATGTTTATCTTTTCATTAAAAGACCCTTGCTTGCAAGTAGGGCATAGCTGCTTACATTGTTAGAGTTATGAAACAGAAGACTAAGGGGAGAGAACACTCAACAAATATTTGATCATGGAAACGTAATTCAATGAGGTTACCATGACCCTAAACAACAAATAAAGCAGTTGGTTTATTGTTTTACACTTTATAACAAAGTTAAACATCAAGCAACAGTAAATACCTCAAAGTAAAACTATATCTTTGTCTCTGTAAATCTTCTTATATGCTACCAGTATCTTTAATTCAGTATTAACATAAAATATTTTATTCATTTGCTGCCATTATAAAGGCTGGAAAATGTCTCCATTTATCTCCAAACTATGTGTGGAAGAAAATTAACCATCTTACTTATTATCATCCAGTTAAAAAGACCTCAGTTCATTGAAAACATATTCACACTTTGCAATTTAGATTGTATCACAGTCTTTTAAGTTTCTTTTCAAGTTTTTCAATGCATATTACTTAGTATTTAGTCTAGTCTTCTGTGAGAGTGATTTTAATGATAATTCAACTAGAAATTAAATAAAGAATGGCACCAAATTTCCTGCTTGTAGTTGATTTCCAAATCCATGAGAAAGGGGTGAAATAAGACAGGGAAAAAGTATTCTATACTTACATAAATGACTTAAATCTTTGTGTATTACATGAACAAACTTTAAGTTGGACTAATTGTGAAGTTTATTTAATCCTTAGCTATACTTTTTAAGATCTATGAGTAGCATCGATGTAGAGGAGCAGCTACGATTCACACATGTGGGGGTTCATTACTAACATCTCAGCTGTATTACTGGACTAGACAATGGAACATCCAGAGAAGTTTTCATTCAGAGAATGATGTTTTTAACGCTCTTGGGCAGGTCACAGCAGGAGCCATTAGAGGAACTCTGAGCTTCCATTGCAAATTTGTCAACTGCCATATTCTCAGCCATGTACAGGTAATAATAGCCTTATGCATTTGGGGATTTTTTAATGCAACCAGATTTATTATATTTAATCCATTGATTGATCAAAACTATCATCTTTTCACTGGATGGCAACTAATTACAGCTGTTGCTTTAAAGGGTTATTTCTGATATATCTGTTCAGCTGTGCCTTTGCATTTGAGGAAACAGATGTGCTCTGACAAGAGCTTATGCTGCAGCATGTTTAAAAGAAATGCTAACAGTGCTCCTAAAGTTATCTTTACTTTATGTGATATTATCTCATCTGCAGGAATGAAATCTCTACCTTACATTATAAAACAGAAGAGCACTAAAGAAAAAAAAAAATTAACTTACCACTGCTAGTTTTTTCCCAGTGCATTTTAAAAATCTGAATTTATCTGCATTTGTCACTCCACCCAGGTACTCTCCAAGCCTCTCCCGCAGCACTCTTAACGTGATGTGAGGAGACACCCTAGAATGTTGTCATTCATTAATACATCTGTAAGATCAAATAATGATGGCTAGTTAGTAGGAGGGGGAAGATAATGGTCTGTACGTGCTGGTTTGCACAGACAGAATGCCCAAAACTGGGAGCTATGTCCTAGAACTGAACCCAGGTACAGATAGGCCAGAGAGTCTTGGTGAGGCAGGCAGAACACTGCACTGTAAAGGCTGTCCTAACATTAACTAGCAAGACTCACATTGTAGCAGCCTCATACAAAGGGAGATTATGGAAGCAGATAAAATTTGAAATTTACTTCTTGAGAATGCTGTTGCTCATCTGCAGATGAATAATACCACCACTGGGAGCAACAGTTGTGCACTTCCATGGAAGTGACACAGTTTCATAGGGCTGGACCAGGACTGTTGAACACTCCCTTCAAGCACCCAGGGCCAGAGGAGCCTTCATCACTGTCCACTTTAAGCAGCTGTCACATTCCTTTGCTTTTGTCTTCTCCAACACCAATTCACAGTTGGGTGTGTGCATGGGTGCATGCAAATGTATTTTGAATAAAAAACAAACACTGCAGTGTGAACATTTCCACCATGATTTGAGGATGAAAATGCTGATAAAAAGATGAATTGCATCATTTAATGCACTACTTGAAAGTATGCAAACATTTAGATAATGAGCTCAGTAGGAAAATCACTACAGAATAAAAAGCATCTCTGCACAATAAATCCAAATGTGCCAGAGGCATACCAAAGCCCTGCAGCACAGCATAAGCAATTCTAATTGTTCTATGCTGTCATATAAGAAACCAGGGAACAAATGCAGGCCTGAGACTGTTAATCACCCACGCTGCTTAAGTGGTAGGATAACTTTGGCCCAAGCAGCTCTCACTCCTCAAGCAATGCAGACACAGCTCGGGGGATAGCACATGCCATTCCCAGCAAACAGCACACACAAGAACCTGCCAGGTCGTCCATCTGAACAGGTCTTCAACATAAACCTGTCAAGGTTTGTTTGCACTTGCAAGCAGCCCTATAGGCCTTCAGCTCACAACTCAAGTATGTAGAAAAAACATTATCACTTTCATCTCATGAACGCAGTACTACAATGCTTCCCTTGTATTGCTTCAAATACTTTGGATTTAGAGGACCCTCCTCAAGATCATGAAACTGCCCTAGAGCACAGGCAGGCAGCAGAGGAGACCAAAGTCTGGAGAGTGGACACATCTACAATGTATAACGGGGGAAAAGTATCTAGCCATCCAGATCCTGAGATACAGGGCAGAAATTTATCTAAAAAGTAATTGCCAGTGAAGCTGCTAGGAAAATAAAATGCTATTAGTCTGTCACTTGCTGCCACTGGCTGGCAGAAAACAGTCACACACAAGTCACTTGCTTCATGGTGTCCCTTTAAAAGGAATGCAAACTAGAGCTCCTAGTAGCTATCTCATCTAGAAATAATAAAAGTTTGGCTTCTGTGGTGAGGAATGAGGAATAAAAAAAAAAAAAAAATCTCACAAAGGCTAAGAAATCAAGTTCATGGGAACAAGAACTCAGGGCCATAGAAAATTACACCTTTAATATCTTCCTCTAATTTCACAGCTAATGGAAGTGGCCTGTACTTTGACCTAGGAATCCTTTGTAAAGCTGACTCAGACAGCACTAGGATTGTCAAGCTGACTGAACAAAAGAGCTATCAACAACGTCCAAGCCACAGGAGCACCAGCAAGGCTGCCATTCCCTCTCCTAGATTATAATAAAAGAAGTTTTTAAAAATATTTTTTTGTTTTTAAAGACAGTGAGTCACTGTCCAGGTGCTAGTTATTGTTCATGCTAATGTACTGCAGTATTGCATAGTGTCCATAGAATAATTAATTAGCAATTATCTAAGAGTCATTAGCAAGCAACAATACCCAGGCATGTATAAACCCACTAAAATCAGTGAGGATCCTAATTTTATTTGATGCCTCAGTGAAATAAATTTACACTAGAAAATATAGGACAGTGACAGATGTCCACGACATGAAATGAAGTTACCACTTCAGACATGTATCCTGCACCTCTGCTGCAGACTAGAACAGCAAACAAAATGGGTATATGCATTTACTTTCTCTGGTTTTGAGCAGCCTTTCAACAACAGCAGCTGTGAGAATGAATACATTCTGCCCTACATGCTCATACCTGACTGCTGTCAGTCTTTTCAGCTACACTATATATTAAGTGTATAATACAAAACTCAATTTAAATTAATTAAAACCTCTATTCCCTATGGTTTTAGTTAAATTGACAGGTTTTGCACAGGGGTAGACAAGGTGCACATAATAGCTCCACTTCAATACACATCTTTACATTATTTGATTTTTCTACAGCTTCTTACCACACTAGGTACACACAGATTTTGTGAGCGAAGTGTTTAGGAGTATAAATAAAACTTACAAAGTTATGTCAGATTAAAAATTCAACTCCCTGTGCCAGGTTTGAGCCTAGGACTGGGAACCAAGGTGTTATTTCACTAAGTTCTTTAAGCAGCTACCAAATGCTGCTGGTTCATGGGCTGTAATGCTTCCCCTTGAGAAACAAAGCTCCAGCTCTTCCTCTGGACTGAGAGAGCTCAGATCATCATATCCCTGTTCCGCGGAACTGACAGGCTATCCTGTCTTCATCAAGCCACTGTCTTGAAGCTGGCCCATTGCCCAAAAGAATTCCAGCTTTTGATAATCAGGCTCAAAGAGACAGAAAGAATGTAATATATGATTTTACAGTATAAATCATTCTGCAGAATGATTTATACTGTAAAGTATAAAGTATGATTTATACTGTAAAGTATATGAAGTACTAGCACTGCTCTGGAAGTGCTTTTCAATGGTCTGCACCATGGGCTGCAGGGGAGCTAAGTCCTGATACAGTAAAAATTAACACAATGCTAGTTATGTTCACCACTTACCCTCCAGAAATTTAATTAGACAACAAGTTTCTGCTGACAGATGTAATTGTGCTCTCTAGAGCAACAGTTGGACTAAAAGACTGAAGGCCAGTGTGAAGAACCTACCCCGTACATGAAACCTAAAACTACACTCACCTTATAAATCCAGCTGAGACAAATTTGCTAGTAAGAGCTACAGGAACTGTATTCAGCTTGAAGTCCCACACTTCTGCTGGGACATAAAAAACATGAAGCTCCACCAGCTGAAAAAAGAACAGATGTAAACGTGTTATAATCCTCTTCCTATATGCTTTGCTTTGTTATAGTGGACTTCCAATTCCTGTAGGCAGGAATGGTTCCTTTGATAGTAGCACAGGGACTAGAAAAGTGAGGCCCTGACTCACAGTGATGACCAAACAGTGAGAACAGTGAGAGCAGAGTAATTTGTGACTGAATGCCAGCTGACAGCATCAGAATAAGTCACATTAGAACAAGCTCCCCAATGGAAGTGAGATAATAGAGAACCTGTGCTACTGCTGTGTATCACTGTGACAGCAGTGGAGAGATCTTACCAAAAACAGTTGATACTCTGGAAAGTGCCATGACTACAAGAATCCCTCAGCTGAAATCCCACCTTAGTTCATCTCATAAAAAATGCAAAGCCCTGAAAGCTTGATTCAAATAGCACCACAACTTGCTCATGTCATCGAGAAAAAAAAATTCAAAATATTTCTGCCTGTTGTTAATAATATCAGCTACCTTGGAAACACAAAAATGCTCCTGCTAATGTCTGCAAAAAGAATAACTAAGCTGGCTCTGAGCAAGGTTCACTGGGGCAGTGTTCAGACCCCTGGTAGTCATTGCACTGCTAATTTCTATGTCCTGATATTTTTAGTAAAAATTGGATAGTACTGACAAGGATGCTGTACTTCACTTGAACTAGAAGCCATGCAAATTACCTATATTAAGTATTTCTGCAAGTGTTGAGTTACTTAATATCAACTAGAAAAGAATTATTTCTATATATAGATATATTATTTACATATATATATATATATTTATATATATAATTTAAAAGCACTTTTTTTTTTTTTTTCCTCTCAGGAAATTATACCTCTCAGAATACCTCTCAGGTATTCTAGAACCCTATTTTAAAATATATATATATTCTTTATTTGTGAAATCTAAAAAATCTTTGTAAAAAAAGTACAAAAACTCTCACCTGTGATGTTCAAGGTCTTGTTTGACTCAATGACATGTTGGTCCCTCTATGTGACCACAGCAAATGCCAGGTGGGCTTTCTAATTTTCTTTTTGATTGAAGCATCCTTTAAGAATGAGTTTCATGATAATCTGTTATGACAGAAGTTACTCCATAAATACCATTTTTTTCATTTTCTGATCTTCATTCCACTTAAGAAAATGGAAGTTGTGTCTGTGCTGAGGCAGAAAGCTTCCAGCTAACTGCAAACAGAATTAACCCCACCTTCTACACGTGTCACCAAAGTAACTGAGGGAATTGCTAATCATAGCCCTGCAGCTCTAAGAAATCTGCCCTGGAGCATTTCCTCTTAACGTTTTCTTCCCTTTCATAAAAATAGTTTGGTAGTATATAATTTTCTACACAATTCCACTGTTTTCCTAAAGACACTGACCTAAACTCCCACAAAACAAGATTCTTGCAGGGCCTGGATCTGATAAAGTGACAATTATTGTGAACTTCAGCAAACACATTGTGCCAGCCGAATGCAGTGTTCTGAGGAAATGTGACTGTGCTGGGCAGCCATGTCAGAAAAATACTTCCATAAATTATAGCCATGGTTCTGTCTGAACAGTGTTATTGAATCATGGAATGGTTTGGGTTGGAAGGGACCTTTGAAGGCCAGCTAGTCCAAGCCCTGCAGTGAGCAGGGACACCTCCCACTTGGCCAGGTTGTCCAGACCCCCAGGTCCAATGTGACCTTCAATGTTTCCAGCTATAGGACATATCCCACCTCTCTGGTTAACCTGCTCCAGGCTTTTACCACATTTAGTGTAAAAAAACCTTCTTCCTTTCATCTCTAATCAATCCTCTTTCAGTTAAAAACCATTCCCCAGTCCTACTGCAACAGGCCCTGCTAAAAATCTTGTTTCCATCTTTCTCTTTTTCTTAGGAGTTTCCTTGGTGTTCTCACTTTGAAGGCTCTTTCAGCCCGTCTGAGGTTACAAACCTCCTCTGCATTTTCAGCCTGCTGAAATCCCTTGCTGTTCTGATCTCAACAGGAGGTCTCTCTACTCCTCTGCCTCTACTCCAGGTATTTCTAATTCACCTGTTGTTGAGTACGAGTCACCGGACCTTCCAAGTCTCACCCCGGCGCTGCAGAATTAAGATTTCCTCATGTCAGTGGGAAATACCTACTTAAGAGAGCCTGTGTCTGTACTGGCAAGCTCCCACAGATGACCCGAGTGTAAGACCCCATCACTCCTGCGGTCATTCCCAGCCGCAGGCAGGCACGGCAGGCACAGCGCTCCTGCCATGGTTCCTGCCTACAGGGAAGGTGCTGCACTTTGCAGTACCTGATGTCACCCCGTGCTCCACCCCTCACTGCCGCTCCCGGGCACTTCCTGCACTGAACTAGAACTAGTAAACGGATCCTCCAGGCTACAGTCAACACTCAAACTGCTAGCAAGAATTAAGTTAGGAACTTCATTCATTGCATCTCTAAGTAACCTCTAGACTTGGACCGCAGTGGATATTACCACCAGTGAAAGTCTCCTCGTCTCCCAGTCCACCCCACGAACGCGTGAGGGCGGCGGTGATTCCTGTGCCCGCAGGCGGGTCCCCGGCCCGGGCACACGGAGCGGCCCCACCCGCCGCGGCCCCGGCTGCGCAGGCGCGGCGGCCCGGGCAGTTGTGGCCACGCCGGGAAGTTGTGTTGGGAGTGCCGCGAGTGTCGAGCCCAGCCCGCCGCCAGCCCCGCCATGTCGGGCTCCTCCAACGTGGCGGCCATGAAGAAGGTGGTGCAGCAGCTGCGTCTGGAGGCGAGTGTGACCCGCGTGAAGGTGAGCGCGGAGCCGGGACGGGACGGGACGGGGCGGACGCGCCGCCATTTCACCGCCCCGGGGCCGCGCCCGCCGCGCAGGGGCCGCCGGCTCCGACCTGCACCGCCCCGCGGACCCGGCTGGGCGGCGGCGCCCGGGCTTCTCCCGGGGCTCCGTCGGTGTTCCCCGGCCGAGGCGAGCCCGGAACGGCAGCGCAGCCGGGTCCCCTCCGCTGCACCCCTGCCCGGGGCTCGGCCGCTCGCTCCCCGCTGCCCCTTAGGCCCCGGGGCCGCTCCCTGGCCGAAGCGCTGCCCCGGGACGATGGACGCGGCCCGCGCTGCCCGTTCGTGCCCTCGGGGCGAGGAGCTCCCTTCCGTCGGGCTCTGGGGAGAGGCTGCCCGAGCCGGGCGCACAACAGGCTGGGCTGGCCCCTGCACGGCAAGATGGAGATGTCGCTGCCAGGCACACGGAGTGCAGTGAACTTGTGCCGGGCCGGGGTGAGACCGCGCCTGGCACGGCCGGACAAACCAATATAAGTGTCAGTGCAAGACGCAACTTTTTGAAACTTTGATCGTTTTATTTATGAGTTCAGAGTCACAGCAAAGAAAAGCGAGACAAAGAATTTTTTCACTTTCAGTTTTTAGGAAGGTACAGCATGCCAAAAACCCCTTATAAGGGTGCTCGGAACCCCATTATCTCATCATAAGGATGGCTTTCCAGGGGAGCCTGAAATGCCAGTTGAGTAGAATATGTTAAACCATAGACAGTATTTTTGAATTGTTTATGGTAGAACGAGGATCTTCATATATTTAATAAAGCTATCTTCAAGATCTTGTTTGTTTTACCCTTCATACTTAGAAGTTTAACATGGAAATTAAAACATCCAAATCCATTCTCATTCTTACAGTGTTCATCTTCTTGCCTTTAAGAAACGAAACTACAATGAAATCATTGCATAAAATCTACATAAGCAGTATTGCAGCATCATTTAGTAGTATTCTTTATACTTTTCAACGTAAAAACCACATCCTCGGTAAGGACTGCTCAGTGAATTCTAATGCCAGCTTTTATTATAACTAGGTTTCTCAAGCTGCAGCTGACTTGAAGCAATTCTGCCTGCAGAATGCACAACATGATCCCCTACTGACGGGAGTATCATCAAGTACAAATCCATTCAGACCCCAGAAAGTTTGTTCGTTTTTGTAATTATGTGAACTACTTCAGTATCTTTCAGTGGTAAGTTCTTGAATTACAATTCATAAACTCTTTTGTCATTTAAATGAGACAGGCTATGTGAAAGGCACTCAGAAACATCTGACTTGTACAGCTGGTGTTGATCCAGATCCCCGTTTTTGGTCCCTTCTCCCATCTTCTGGTCACAGCTCTGCATGGGACTTGTGCTGGCCATAGGCATTATGAGTAGCACTTTGCTGTTGCAGAGCTTCCACCAGTTTCTGTAGCTGTAGCAAAGTAGTGGGGCCAGCTACTCCTGAGCTGCTATTTAGCAGCCAGACTAACCCAGCTGAACAGTAATTGTGCTGTATCTTCCTCTCTGTAAGGGTATTATTTCCCTTTTCTCACATAGAATTAATTGCCTGACAGCATATGTGCTGAATCCTGACTGTGGCAGATAAATTAGCCTTCTCTTCTTAAAGAACAGTTCCAAAAACAGATTAGTGGTGGTGGTCCCAAGAAGAGCATTGACCACTGTGGGGGGAAGATGCCCTCTGTCAAAAGAAAGAAGTATATACTTTTTAAAAGATATGTACTTTTAAAAGCCCATATCCACTCAAGTAAGCTACTATGGGGGTAGCAGTTTAAATAACTATAAACAGTTAAATACTCATTTGGATTTTCATTCCAAAACTTTCATAGGTTCATTAGCATTACTGCTATCACCAAGAAGACTACTCACTCATCTGGCATTTTGGTGATTAGATTTTAGGCTAACCTCTTTAGAAAGGTGAGTTTTAGATCCACTATAGTTTCACCAAAACTCACAAAGTCACCATAATTTGGTTATTTTGACCACAGGAAACACGATTATTTTACCATATTCCCTTTTCCTGTTGCCCCTTGACTTGGATCTGTTGGAGATGAGAGCACAGGTGTTATTTCGAAGCATCTGATGCACAGTTAACTGTAGTTCACAATCCTTAGAAATCTCACAGTAAGTCTTGACCTTTAAAATTTCTGGTTGTGTAGCTGACATATCATCTAAAGAACTGTAGTTTGCTAGATTAAAATTGTGCTGTTAGGCAGATTTATAGAAAGGTGACCGCAGTCAGATTGAATTGTTAAAATTGTTCTCTCCTCACGCAGACTGTAGAAATGTTCCAGATGTGTGTACTAGAAGAATAACCACATTTAAAGACCAGAGTAGTAACAGTATAGAAGTTGATCCTTAACTATTTAACAAGCAAAAACACTGTCCACCTTGTTTTGAGCAGTGAATTACAACAGTATAACTGAAATGTGCTTTAGAGTTCTTGGAGCTTTTAAAGTTACTTCTATTGTGAGTTTTTACCAACTACTGTTATTTAAAAAATACTCTTGGATAATACATTAGTGTAGCTTCAGCTGTAAGCACTAATCCAAGGAATAAATCAGATCATCTGTAAGCATTATACACTGCTTACTTCTACAAAGCCAAATAAACTCTACTTAATCAGTGACACATACAATTCCTCGTGGAGGTTTGCTAAGGTAAAGTAATTCCTGGATTCCTGGGTGTGGATGTAGGGAAACAACGTTTCCTCTGTCTCACTCACCACCTGTATGCATAGGGTGTAAAAGGCTTAATATTTTCTTTCTCAGTTACAGCCTTTGGAAAGGACCTCTTGTTTCTGTTTTAGTTACATTACTTATAGGTGAAACTCCTTCACTTTGCAGTATCAGTTGCAGGAACTTTCTGAAAAGAGGTGATTCCTTCTGTTTTCTTGATGAGCCAGTAGTGTTCGTGTTTGCAGTCAGCACCACCTCACTGAAGAGGAAGTGTAATTTGTTAGTTACACAACAAATTCCTTGCTTTTCAAAGGCAAAACGGAAACCTGGTGTTTTGGGGAGCACAAAGTGACTGGGAACAGCTTGTATCCTTCCACTTAGTTTCTTTTCCAGGAGACACTAAGCTTCAGTTCTTTTTTAAGAGCTTTGATTACCTTGTTTTATCTTTGGGGATGGCTTCATTAAGAATTTAGTTTTTAAACTAGTATTTTATAAAACAGCTGTAAAAAAGAGGATATTTTTTTCCTAAATAGTT